ACTCCGCTGGGCCTCCCAGGAGCCCACGAAAGTGCCGACAATTGCGCAGTTGGCAGCTCCCCCCGCAGAGAGCCGCGAGGTCCCGACGCGATCCGCGTGTAACCCCACTCCGCTGGGCCTCCTAGGAGCCCACGAAAGTGCCGACAGTTGCGCAGTTGGCAGCTCCCCCCGCAGGGAGCCGCGAGGTCCCGACGCGATCCGCGTGTGACCCCACTCCGCTGGGCCTCCCAGGAACCCACGAAAATGCCGACAATTGCGCAGTTCGCAGCTCCCCCCGCAGGGAGCCGCGAGGTCCCAACGCGATCCGCGTGTAACCCCACTCCGCTGGGCCCCCACGAAAGTGCCGACAGTTGCGCAGTTGGCAGCTCCCCCCGCAGGGAGCCGCGAGGTCCCGACGCGATCCGCGTGTAACCCCCACTCCGCTGGGCCTCCCAGGAGCCCACGAAAGTGCCGACAATTGCGCAGTTGGCAGCTCCCCCCGCAGGGAGCCGCGAGGTCCCGACGCGATCCGCGTGTACCCCCACTCCGCTGGGCCTCCCAGGAGCCCACGAAAGTGCCGACAGTTGCGCAAATTGGCAGCTCCCCCCGCAGGGAGCCGCGAGGTCCCGACGCGATCCGCGTGTAACCCCCACTCCGCTGGGCCTCCCAGGAGCCCACGAAAGTGCCGACAGTTGCGCAGTTGGCAGCTCCCCCCGCAGGGAGCCGCGAGGTCCCGGCGCGATCTGCGTGTCACCCCCACTCCGCTGGGCCTCCCAGGAGCCCACGAAAGTGCCGACAGTTGCGCAGTTGGCAGCTCCCCCCGCAGGGAGCCGCGAGGTCCCGGCGCGATCCGCGTGTCCCCCAATTCCGCTGGGCCTCCCAGGAGCCCACGAAAGTGCCGACAGTTGCGCAGTCGGCAGCTCCCCCCGCGGGGAGCCGCGAGGTCTCGGCGCGATCTGCGTGCACCCCAACTCCGCTGGGCCTCCCAGGAGCCCACGAAAGTGCCGACAGTTGCGCAGTTGGCAGCTCCCCCCGCAGGGAGCCGCGAGGTCCCGGCGCGATCCGCGTGTCCCCCAATTCCGCTGTGGTGCTGGGGGGCCCAGCACAGTGGGTACCCACCGCAGATTCAAATGGGACCTCGCCATCCCTGGGGGGCTGCGATCTGTGAAACTGTCGCCACGTTCGAGGGCTGCTGGGGGGGGCAGCACAGTGGGTACCCACCGCAGATTCAAATGGGACCTCGCCATCCCTAGGGGGCTGCGATCTGTGAAACTGTCGCCAATTTCGAGGCCTGCTGAGGGACCCAGCACAGTGGGCTTCCCGCGCGTCTATTTCCTGCTCTTCGTTCCCGACTCCCCATGTCCCATTCGAGCCTGTAGCTGTTGCCCTTCTTCCTTGTATGGTTCTCCTGCACATCATGCCATAGGCGCGTGTCCCAAGTAGCTTACATATCAAACAACGGATCCTGCAATTTGATTGTCCATGCAAGTTTCGGCCAACTCCCCGTTTCCCATGATACAAATGGGTTGGGTACGTCACTGGGTAATTTGAAGCATTGTTATTTCCAACGGAATTCTCCTAGATCCCATTGGGCACCATTTCGATGCCACTCGGGTTCATTTATCTTTACAAACGCAAACATCAGGGCTCCCCCGCGTGACAAGGTGACGGCTGACACGCCCCCCCCTCCAAAATGATTTGCATGGCCCATTCGGAGGGAAGCCAACAGTCTCACCCCTGGCCCGTGACCTGTTATGATTGGGGTGCGCGTGGCCAAATGATTCCCCACCCTAATTACGACTAGTATTATTATTACGACTCGACTTCTACTCCTACGACGACTACTACTACTACTACTACTACTACTGCTACTACTACTACTACTAGTACTACTACTACTACTACTACTACTACTACTACTACTACTACTACTACTACTACTACTACTACTAACTACTACTACTACTACTACTACTATACTACTACTACTACTACTACTACTACTACTACTACTACTACTACTACTACTACGACTACTACTACTACGACTACTACTACTATACTAACTACTACTACTACTACTGACTACTACTACTACTACTACTACGATTACGACTACTACGACTACTACTACGACTTCTACTACTACTACCTCTACTACTACTACTACTACTATCACTACTACTACTACTACTACTACTGCTACTACTACTACTACTTCTACCTCTGCTACAACTCTTCTTCTTCCTACTACTACTACTACTACTACTACTACTGCTACTACTGCTATTACTACTGTTTCTACTACTACTTCTTCTACTACTACTACTACTACTACTACTACTACTACGACGACGACGACGACGACTACTACTACTACTACTACGACTACTATTACTACTACTACTACTACTACTACTACTACTACGGCTACTACGACGACTACGACTATGAGTCGGAGTCTTATTAGTATTACGATTTCTTCGATTACGACTAGTACTACTACTGCTCCTACCACTACTACTACTACTACTACTACTACTACTACTACTACTACTACTGCTACTACTACTACTACTACTACTACTACAATTACTACGACCACTACTACTACTACTACTACTACTACTACTGCTACTACTACTACTACTACTACTACTACTACCACGATTACTACGAGCACGACAACTGCGACTACTACTACGACTACCCCTATTACGACAGCTACGACTACGATTAATATCACGACTACTTTCATTATTACCATTACCCCAACTATTAGTTTATTATTATTACGACCCGTACGACTACGACCACTACGACTAGCACCACCTATCATTACTATTACGACTACCCGTAGTATTATTAGTTATACGATTACCATTACGACGGCTACGGCGACGACTGCACCCACTACGGCTACGATTGCTATTGCTACTACCAGGGCCAAACCTTACCTTCGAGTATACTAAGAATGAATGGGTCAGGGTTCGGGTCCGGGTTCGGAGTCAGGATTGCTTGGGCGGTCATGCAAATTGAGTACGTATCCAATACGATTCAAGTACCATTGGAATTGCCTACAACTTCGATTAAAAGCAGCATATAACTCATTAGGAAGTTGATGGGAATCGCCCCGAGGAGCCACAGAGAGATTGCGCACGAATACTAGGATTATAATCGCACACGCTTTCGCCGTTTGCTAGTAACAAATCAATACAGGGGCTATAGAGCCAATAGTACACGAAGGTTAGGTTTGGAAATCCATCGTGTAGGCGCCCCATTGGAAACCCAGCGCGCGCGAATTGAATTGGCAACCCATCGCGCGGGAATCCCATTGGGCATCCGCGGCCGGGGGGTCCAACTGACAACGCGTTGCGCGGGAAAACTTGTTCGCTGCGCGTCTCATCGGAGGCAGCTGAACATTTGCGGCGCGGGAACCCATGTGAAAATTCAAAGCTCAATCCATGCCGCGGGCCCTTGTGCAGGTACCCTCCTTTGAATTTGAGAGTGCCCGGTGGTGATGCGAGACCAACCTGCGCGCGCCTGCGCGGCTTCCATGCCGCGCGCTCAACGGCGGGCGCGCCGCGCTGTCTGGGCCGCTGCGCGAAAAAGAACAACATGCTGAGAACCCTATAGAGAGTCCCGTCGTGAGCGACTTAAGGAGAAAAATGTGAAACGCCTTCCCGTTCGCGCCCTCTGGGCTCGCAGGCCCCTGGCCGTCAACGAACCGGCTAATTGCCGCGCCCGCGCGCGCGTCGGCCCCGGCGGAGGCGAAGTCTGGAGGCCGAGGCCACTTCGCGACGACAACGCTCACACACGCCCAGTCAGAGCCACGGGTAGCCCGCGGGGCGCCCGTGCGCGGCGCATGGGCCACGAGCGCCGCCCTGGCTGCGACGCGCTGGCGCGGCTCGTCGCGACCTGGAAGATTGCGGCTGCCCGCTCAAAGGAAACGCCGCGACTGCTGCTCCAGGACGCGCTGGCCCAGGGAAGGCCCCCGCTTGCGATGGGCTAAAGGGCTTCGATGGGGGGGCGCGCTGAATTGCGCGGGAACCAATGGGGCCTCTTATTGCGAAGCCCCCGCATGCAAAGTGGGATTTCGCCTGCCATTCTACTGGCGAGCGCGCCGCTGGAACGGCGACTGGTTGGCGGCCTGGCGCGGCCTGCTCCGCGGTCGGCCCCAGCGCTTGCCGAGGCCCCGCGAGCGCGGCCCCCACCTGCAGCCGCGCGAGCAGAGCCAATAGTGCGATGACACACTGCGACTGCATGATGGGCGCGCCCAAGTTGCTGACGCCCACCAACTGGATTTGGCCCTCGGGCACGGCTGCGGGCCGGCCGACCCGGAAGCGCGCCAAAATGCCCAAAATGCCGAGCGCGAGGGGCGCGCCGACGTCGGCGGCGCGGCCGCGCGCCTGCTTACCACCGCGTTGCGGAACGGCCTCTGGGAGCCGCCTTGAGGAAATCGTTGACTCGAGCCACCATTGTTTGAGCCGACGCGGCAACGGCCTCCTCCTACTCCTCACCCTACTCTTCCCCGTCCCCCTCCCCCGTCGTTCTCCTCCCTCTCGTGCTCTTCGTTTGCCTCCCACTGCCTGCTCCGCCTCCTCCCACTCATCCTCCTCCTCCTCGTCCTCCTCGCCCTGCTCCTCTTTTCCAACCCTTCCCCTTCCTGCTCCTGCTCCTGCTCCTCCTCCTCCTGCTCCTCCTCCTCCTGCTCCTGCTGCTGCTGCGCCTCCTCCTCCTCCTCCTCCTCCTCCTTCTCCTCCTCCTCCTCCTCCCCGTAGCCATTGGCTCAAGTGCGAAACCGTGGCCCTGCGGCTTCGTACTCGCCTGCAGCCGAGGGGCTGGCTCGAGGCGAGCCGGCCCACAGCGGGCCTCCGAGTGCGGCAGGGCAGCCCCTGCCTCGGGCCCACCCCGCCTTCGGATTTCAGCACCTGTCGGTCCGGGGCCCGCGCTCCGCCCGCAACCGCGATCTCTCCAGCAAGACTCTTCTTTGGCACGCTCGCCCTAGTCAGCGCTGCGCCATGGCTTCCTGCGGCAAGTACCTGGTGCGCCCCCGCGCCGAGCGCCGCGGGTGGGAATGGGCGCCTGCCAAGGCTTGCTCGCAGCGCGGCTCGCACCTCCAGGCCCTCGGCCAACGGAGTCGAGCGAGCAGCAGGCAGCCCCCCCGCCCGCCCCGCGCCAGTGGCCGAGGGGGCAGAGGAGCTGCTTGGGAACCTCGAGTTCGATTTGAGGATGACAGTAAGGAAGAGTCGCCACCGCGCCAGCAATCGCCTGCCAAAGATCCAGGGGCCCCCGCCCAACCTGACCCAGTCGCACTGTCTCAGGCCCAAGTCGCCTTCTGGACGAAGTGGGTTGGGGCGCAGGGAAAAGAGCACGCCGACGCTCTGGAGATACTCAAGCATGCGAGGATGGAAGCGCTGCGAGGCAAGAGTCTCGACCAGCAGACCCAGTCGCTGCGCGACCAAGTGCAGATCACCAAGCAGAAAGTGGAGGGCTCGCAGCACGAGCTCACCGACATCGCGGCGCAGATCACACCCCCGGCCACCCAGTGCAAGACGAGATCCAAGGAGCTCGCGGACACGAAGGACGAGCTGCAGCAGCTCGAGGCGCAGAGGGCCATGGCGGCCCACGCGGCTGCGCAGCAGGCATCCGAGAACACAGACATATAAGAGATGGTCCACGCGGCGCCGCAGGCGAAGATCCCGCAAGGAGGAATCGCCCCGCCAGCGCCGCAGGCTAAAGTGCACGACCCGGCCAACACCGTCGACCAGCTCAAGAAGCTGCGCGAGAGCGCAGTGGCGGACAGCGCATCGCCGTCGCCAACGCCGACCCCGCCGCTGCCAGCCACGCAGCATCCACCGCCCTTTTCGGCACCAGCGCCAGAGAGTCTGCAGGGTGGAATGGCCAAACCAGTTGGGCCAGACTAAGAGGAGGAGGACGAGGCCATGGCCATCGTGGGCCGGGGCAACCGCGACAAGCATGCCCTGGGTGAGGTCGCCAACACCATGGAGCAGAATAAGGGCGAGGAGGCGGCCAAGAGACTCCGCGAGGCCACAAGCGCTGGCCGACCAGGAGAAGATATGTCGCCTCTTTGACACCATCAAGCAAGTTACCTTCAATGGCAGCTGCTGGCCAACATTCGAGCAGTTCGTTGAGTCGCAGTGGGTGAATGATGTGACGCTGATCTGCGCCCAGGAACACAGGCTATGCGATGGGGGCATCATTGCCCAGAAGGCCCAGTGGCGCCAGCGGAGGGGATGGCCGGCACACATCCCGCCAGCTAGTTTCAATGACAGCGGGGAGCGCGTCAACGGAGTGGCCATCCTCGTCCGCGACGGGCTCGACCCGGGGTTGAGCCGATGCACTTCGAGAGCCGCGTTGACAGGGGCCGCCTTGCAGGTGTCTGCCTGGAGGCCCCAGGCCTGCCGAAGGTAGGCCTCATGAGCACGCATTTCCTCGCCTCAGAGGGCCTAGGTAAGACCAACCTGGGCCTGCTCGCAGACATTGCTGTCCCACAGGACAGACTCCGTCTACCCATCATCGTGGCGGGGGATTCAACCTGTCCCCCGAGAAGATCGAATCCGCGGATTTGTTGAACAGGGCCTCTCTGAAGATTCTGGCCCCAGTGGGACCTACGCGTCGGGAAGCCAAATCGAGCAACGTTCTGGATTTCTTTCCTGATCAGCGAAACCCTGGGCGAGTGGGCGGAGAAAGTTCAGACTTGGACCAGGTGCCCGCTTTCTCCTCGCAGGCCAGTTTGTCTAGACTTTCAAGGCGACGATAGTTTTCTTGTGCCAGTCCTGAAGAAGCCCCAGCGTCTTCCTTCAGTCAAGCCGTTCGGCCCTTCTAAGAGGCCAACCAGCTGGACCCAAAGCGAAAGTGCGATTAGCTATACCAATGCTTCGCTTCATGATGCGGCTACGCCTCTCGGAACCAGCGCCAGGCCATCTCGGATTAGTGCTACTTCACAGTGGTTAAGGACCTTGAGCGGTCCCCCAGCTGCCACCCGGACACCCCTCTTGGACACTGCGGCCCCACGTGCGAGCCCCCCAGTGGTCAAATGGGCACGAGCCCAAAGACGTGAGACTAAAGTTTGCGTTGGTTGGAAGTCTCTCGGGGCCCCACTTCGATGGCTTCGAAACCGTCTCGTCGACATCAACTGCGTCGTTTCGAAGGCGGACACTAACCAGCTAGAGCATTTGATGGCAGGCCTGCAGGACTCGCCAGAGGAGTTTGCACCGGTCGAATGTTTGAAGCAGCTGTTGGCGACAGCAGTGCAGCTAGGAGAACTCCTCCTTGCAGACGCAGCAGCTGGAGTGCTAGCCGCGGGCACAGCCGACCAGGCGATAAACGATATACTTCAGGACCTGGACCGAGCCATAGACAACGAGCGGAAACAGCAACATTCCGAATCGGCCAAAGCCTGGGCTTCGTGGGTCCAAAGTTCCCTGCAGGGAGGAGTCGGCTGGGCCCACAGATGGACGAGGAGCCTGGAAGCCTGGAAGCCAGCATCAACACTCGTCAAGGGACGATGGTCAGGTCGCCCAAGCAGCACTCTAGAAGGTGAAGCCGACCGACTTGCCAGTATCTGGGACACTTCGGACAAGCCACAAGATAATCCAGTTCCAAGGGACATCGATGACAGAAAAGCCTTGGGACCGATGGACGGCAAGACCCTTCAGGAAGCAAGACCCTTCAGGAGTTTTTCAGTGACGACAGCCTCAACGTGGGACGGAGCCCACCCGAGGCACCCCACGTTCACCACCGAGCAGCAGGCAGACATTGTCGCGCAGCTGTTGCTCCTCATCGAGAGCCTAGGTCTCACGCCCTCGCAGATGCAGGCAATAATCTCAGTTCTTAGCATGAAGCACAAGCAGCAAGATCCGCAGGCAACGAGACCAGCAATGAGACCGATCGGAATGGTGTCAGGCCTGCATCGAGCTTGGGCTAGAGTAAGACAGTCAGCAGCGAGAGAATGGGAAAGGAATCGCAGGCGCCCATTCCTCACCCACCAAGCAGGTCATTCCATAGTGGAGCTAATTTTTCAAGCAGAGCCTTGATTGCGAGTGCTGCCCCAAGCGTAACGAACAAGTACGTTCAGTTATGGCTCTCTACGGCCCCAGCAACTACTACGTACATAATAACCGCAGAAAGCTTGCTGCCCGAACCCTTTCGCAGTGGTTTCCCCGCCACCCTCCTCAGGGTCATCCTGGGTATTTACGCAAGCCCCCGATATGTTGGACTCCAGGACCTGGTGGTGTCGGTGGGTAACACAGTACATGACATAGCCGCGGAGCGTGGGTTTGCTACATACCTCATACAGATGTACACGATAGACCCCCTGGACTCCTGGACCCAGCCGAACCCCGATGTAGACATCTACATGCTCATAGACGATACCCTCTTAAAGAATCACGATTACAAGATCTGCCGCATCGCCAGCCGCCTGAGCCGCGGCACCCAGAGCTTGCTAGATAGCATCCAGACCGATCTTGACAGCAAGATCGCTCCCGCCAAGATTCAGCTCTTCGCGTCTTCAGACCAAGTGCGCCGCCAAGTACAGCGCAGACTGCGAGCTCGAGCAGGCAGCACAACGGACATTTCGGGACCCAACCTCGGCTGCGAGACCGCAGCAGGAGCCCCCCCAGCGCAGGTGGAGAAAGGATAGAGTTGCTAAGACCAGGATTGACATACTC